TCTTTCTTTCTTTCTTTCTTTCTTTCTTTCTTTCTTTCTTTCTTTCTTTCTTTCGTGTGTGTATGTGTGTGTGTGTAAGATGGAGTCTCACTATGTAGCTAAGGCTGGCCTGGAACATGGTATGTAGCCTAAGCTGTCCTCCTATGTGTTGACTATAAGCCTGCAACACCATGCCTGACTTTATATCATATTTTTCTCTTCTTGTTTTTTTTTGTTTTTTTTTTTTTGAGACAGGGTCTCGAGTAGCAGGGACTGGCCTCACATTCATTATGTATGCAAGAATAACCTTGAATTTCTGATTGTTCTACCTCTACCTCCAAAGTATTGGGATTGCATGTGCTATCCCACAACTGGTATTATTTTCTTCAAATACACAAATAACTTGAAATTCTTTGACAATGTGTAGACGATTATCCTCATAACACTAAGTGAATTTGGGGAGGTTTTTAATATTTTTATCAGTTCTTAAAAAGCTCAATATCTCATTATAGTGTTTCTTTAGCAAACATTTTCTTCAGCCCTGATAACATTATCTTAAACTTAAAATTGGAGGCATCCAAAATAGTGACTTAACTCTAAAGATGTAAGTAAATAAAGCTATTTATCCGACATCCTACTGTACCAGGCACTTCGAACATTTACTTTTTTATTTAAGTATAATATTTTTATACATATAAGGAAGGAACTTGGGGCTTAATCAGAGCAGGTGGTCATAATGCCACATGTCTGTCATTCCAGCACTTGGGAGGCTGAGGAAGATTGTGAGTTTGGGTCAAGCCTGAGCAACATAGTGAGTTCTAAGCCAGCATTAGCTACAAAGTGAGATCTTGACTTAAAAATCAAAAATAAAGCCAGGTATAATGACACGCTCCTTTAATCCCAATACTTGGGAGGTAGAGGCACATGTATCTCTGAGCATTCAAAGCTAGCCTGGTCTACATAGTGAGTTCCAGGACAGCCAATGCTATGTGGTAAGACTTTATCGGGCAAAAATGAAAAAGGAAAAATAAAAAACCTAGAACAAAAGCTGAGCATGTTGATCTATGTTCTTCAGTCCAGCACTCAGGAAGCAGAGGCAGGAGGATCAGGAGTCAAGGCCAACCTCAGTTATATAGTGAGTTTGAGGCCAACCAAGGCTACATGAGACTGTATCTCAAAAAGACAAATAAATGAATCTTACTCAGACAAATATCAACATACACCATAGTATTTCCTTACCTCTCAGTTATGTCTGGAGGAAACAGTTTAGAAGTGAGTGAGTGTCGTCATCCAGACTCCTGACTTAGGAGCTCTTGTGTGTATACCTGACCAAACCTAATCGTGATGGACACAGAAAGACCTTTTCCCTCCACATTCTAGAAGGCAGCTGCAGAAGGTCCAGAGGCTGCTGCTCCTGTCACTATATCCCTTGAGCTGGTTGGGTTTTCTCCCTTAGCAAAGGAGGTCAGAATAACATGTCCTTAGAACCATCCTAGCGACCCCAGCCCTCAGCCAGTATAGGTGCCCCCACTACCACTTTTCCACGTACAGCAAGTCCAAAGGAGTAAAGAAATAGCAAACTCAGTCCAGCACATGTCTTCCCTTCATCTCGTATCTGTCTTGTCAGAGCGCGATGCTACCAGCTGGATTCCGACAGAAAGACCAGACCCAGAAAGCAGCCACTGGCCCATTTGACCGAGAGCACCTCCTCATGTACTTGGAGAAGGAGGCGTTGGAACAGAAGGACAGGGAGGACTTCGTGCCCTTCACGGGAGAAAAGAAAGGTAAGGGCCGCAGACGGCGCCTCTTGGGACAAGGTGCCCTTAACATAGAGGGCATCAATCAAAGGAGCTGGGAAGAGGGAAGAAGCCAACAGATTACACGTGGGATTGTGGAAGACTGTGGCTGGGAGATGCAGCACCCAGAGTGAACCCTAAGGTAGATTACAGCTCACGGGTGATGACGATGGGGCTTTATGGGTTCATTGGTTGTCACCCATGCCCCCACTATAGTGTGGGATGTTAATGGGGAGGTTAGTGGGGGGTGGGGGGATATATGCGAATTTTCTGATTAATTTGGATATGAGCCTAAAGCTATTCTCAGAATGAGAGTTTATTAGTTTAAAAAAAAAAAAAAGAAAAAGCATGGCCGGATATGTGATGAATTAAATGACTCCATGGGATGTAATGATTCTGAAACTAATTTTGTCAAAAAAAAATTTTCAAAGTCTCAAGACAAAGCTTTGAAAATGTAAAGCAGCACCCTACCCGAATGAGATGCACAGGCAATGATGTGTTTCCCTCAACCTTTTGAGTCCCAGCTGCAGGCATCTAGGCAAGGCCTTTCTACTCTGTCTAGAGTGCTTGTGGCCTGACTCCCTAACCTCATGCTATGATGAAAGGCCCGTCTGTCATCCATTCATCTTGCACTTGCTGTCCCCGGTACAGAACTCTATGGCAGACCAAGACCTTATTTTGCCCTCAAGATGCTTGTCATCTAGTAAAAGAAACACCAGGATGTAACAGGGAAGGCTGTGAGGAGCAAGCCCATGCTAGAACCTCTCCCCGCTTCCCTCTTCTCTCCTATTCTCTTTCCCTCCCCTCCCCGCTTCCCTTACTTTCCCTTCCCTGTTCCCCCTTGTCCCTTCCCTCCCCACCTCTCCTGCCTAAATAGACTGTTAATTCATTCTGTTCCTGACTTCATCTCCCTCCAACACTGGAACTTCAGTCATGCTTCCTACATAACGTCCCAGCTTCCTGCTGCAACCTCAGCATGGGTCTAGCCTCCACTGCCTCTTGGCTACAGTTCTCCTTTCCTTGCTAAGTCTCAGCCTGTGTCATTGTTCAGGTTCCCAGATTTGTCCAACTCAAGTTAATTTTCTCATCAGCTCTTTTCTCTGACCCGTATCCCCATTGTTTTTTTTTTAAAAAAAAAAAAAAAAAACAGGAAGCTCTCAGCTTAAATGCTAGAGTCTCAGATTCCCCTGACCCCTCTATGTATTCACCCCTTTTGCCGACCATGGCACCTGGGCATTGCTTTCATAGCTCTGTGGCCATGTTCATCACTGTGCTGTGTACTTTGGCGGCTGTGTGGTCTCTGTATCAGTTTGAGAACCCCCAGTAGAGCCAGATGACCTGGTGGAGGTACTCCTTCCTCTGAGCTCCAGTGAAGTGAGGCGGTCTTTAAGCCTGTACTCAGTGGCAAGGAAAACAGAGCACTGAGCATGAACCATCCCTGTCATCCCTCTGTGCTGTACACGTCTGATGATACTGAGAAGGAAATTAAGAACGTAGAGTTGGTCAGTGATGAGTCAGGTAAACAGCTGTGGGTTACTATGGAGTATGAGATGTTTCTATGGTAACGCAGTTGCTGTTGGACTTACCAGATGGTGACAAGCTTAAACTAAATTAAAAAAAAAATCTTCAATAAAATCCCATCGTGTGTTAGATAATGACAGAATACTAAGGGGAATGCTTTTGTCATTTCTTCTCTGAGGAGAGGAGTGGCTTTGGCAAATTACTCCCGGATCCAGGTTCATCTGGAGGAGGAGGCTTGTGACGAAGGAAGGCTGGAGCTTTCTGAGTTTAAAAGGTACAACACGGCCGCACCCTGTAGCTTGGGAGATGGCTGGTGGATTAGTGACTCTGTCCTGCTCCAACAAAAGCACGTAAGGAATGATGGGTCTGTTTAGGCTCACAGCTCCAGAGTGCAGCCCACTGTGGCAGGGAGGGCGTGATAGCAGAAGCCCAAGAGGGAGGCTCACTTCACATTCACGGGCAGGAGTGGGAGAGAAGGATGCTGGCACTCAGCGCGAATTCTCCCTTTCCAGAATCCCAGCCGATGGATTGGAGCCACCCACATTTAGGATGGGTCTTCCCAATTAGCCCAGTCTAAAAACTCCCTCGTAAACATGCCTGGAGACTTGTCTTTCCTAGATCCAGTCAAGTTGACGATACTATCGCCATTAGAAAGAAACTTGATTGCTGAAACGAGTATAGCCCAGGGGAGCCCTGGGAGGTAAGAGGCAGGAGTCCTCTCACCACCCAGGATTAACTCCATCCTAGCAGTCCAGGAACCTCAAAGGATAAAACAGCTCAGTGGTATGTGCCTTTCATGCCAATGGTGCATCTTCTGTTCAGTCTGGTGCCTTACCCATAAGGCAGTGTAGTACGCTCATCTTTGTTTTCATTCTGATTTAAAGGGAGAGTGTTTATCCCCAAAGAAAAGCCTGTAGAAGCTCCAAAAGAAGAAAAAGTGACTCTGGACCCAGAGCTGGAAGAAGCCTTGGCCAGCGCCTCAGACACTGAACTCTACGATCTTGCAGGTTAGTTCTCCCATGGGCTCCTGATCTCCAGGCTTGCACTCACTCCCCTGGTGCAAACCTCAGAGCTTCTGGTAACCCATGAGCACGGCGCTGCCTGGGTGGCAGCAGCCAGTTTTATTGAGACTGGATCCTGTGGATGAGCAAGCCATGTTTTAACCCATTCTGTTGTTAAGATGCTTCTCATCCTACAAAATTCTTGTGATAAATAGAAAGAGAACAGACAGATATGGAATGATATTGAGAGCTTGAAAAATAAAATTGCAAGCTAGGTATGGCGACCTATGCCTGAAATGGTAGCACTAGCGCTCTAAAGGCTGAGACAGGAGGATTATTGTGAGTTTGAGCCCAGCCTGGGCTACATAGAAATTAAAAATGAATGAAATAATATTCCCATATGCTTTCCCAGGAACTTCCATATTAAAATGAACTTATGGGATTCACACATTTCATGGTCCCATTTCTGTTTATGTTTTTTTTTTTAAATAGTATTGCTCTGTGTAGCCCTGACTGTCCTGGAACTTGCTCTATAGACCAAATTGGCCTCAAACTCAGAGATCCTCCTGCCTCTGCCTCCTGAGTGCCAGGACTAAAAGTGTGCGCCACCACCTTTTGTGGCCTTTTGGTCACATTTCTGTGGTGTTCTTGGTCTCCCTCACAATTGCCATTACAAGCTGATTTGTGCCAGGAGGTCATCTAGCCTTCTAGTTTCCTTAATAAACCGAAACTAGACGATGATAGCAGGGTTGTTATTTTAACTGATCTTACATGCGGATTGCCTCAGTTACCTTTCTGTTGCCGTGGCATAAAACCATCATGACCAAGGCAACTTCTAAAGGAATGTGTCTCCTTGAGCTTTTGGCTTCAGAAGGCTAGAGTCTATGGTGGGGAAGCAAAGATGTGTTCAGCAGGAGCCACTGAATACTCACATCACGACCCAAAAGCAGGAAGCAGAGAGTCTGCACACTGTAACATGAGGGGACTTGCTTGTTGGGGTTTCTGTCCTGCCTGGCCCCCCAGGTGTTTAGTCCCAGAGAAAAAAATCACACAAGAGATCTCTATAAATTATAAAGCTGATTGGCCCCTTAGGTCTAGCCTCTTACTGGCTAACTCTCACATCTTGATTAACCCATTTTTCTGATCTATTTTAGCCATGTGGCTCAGTACCTTTTCCAGCTGGTAGATCACATCCTGCTGCTTCGGTGATCTGAGCAGGAGTGGGAGGAATCAACTTCCTCCTCCCCAGAATTCTCCTGCTCTCCTTGCATCATTTCCACTTCCTGTCTGGTTTTCCCACCTACACCTCCTGCCTGGCCAATCAGCGTTTATTTAAAACATGATTGACAGAATACAGACAATTCTCCCGCACCAGCACACTGGGAATGAGTCTTTTGAAACCTCAAAGCCTACCCCAGTACACACCATTTCTGACAAGGCCACACCTCCTAATCCTTCCCAAACAGTTCCACCAACTCAGGACCAAGTATTCAAATATAGGAGTCAGTGGTGACCATTAGCATTCAGACTACCATGTTGACATAACAAGCTCAAATAATATAAAAGAAATGAAAAACTAGTCTTTCCCCCAAATTAAGGCCTTTCTCGAAACAAAACAAAAATCCAGTGTGGTGTGGGATGGGTGAGCAACATAGTTCCCTTCTAGAGTAGCATGGGCTACAGAGTGAGACTGTGAGTTTAAGAGTAAATGAGAGCTAGGTGTGGTGTGTGTTCTTAATCCCAATGCTCAGGAAGTGGAGGCAGGAGGATGAAGAGTCATGGCTAATCTCGTTATGTGCGCATCATAGGACAGCTCTACGGAGCTGATTCCCTCTTTCTCCCTTATGTGGGTTCAAACTCAGGCCGTCCAGCTGCATTGTAGGGTGGCAAGGGCCTTAACTTGTTGAGCCCTGCCTGACTCTGCGTCCCCAGCCTTGGGATCACAGGTGCACACCCCCACACCCAATATGCACCTGTTTCTTACAGAAGTTCTGGGGTTTTAACCCAAGTCCTTGTGCTTTCAAGTGAAGTTGGTTATCAGTTTAGCTGCTCCCCACCCGCAGAATGCTGACTCTTATTCCCCTAGAAGATGTTTGTAGAAATCTCTTCCCTGCTCTGCCTTATTCTGGTACGGCTGCCATCTCCACACATTTCCATCCATCTCTGATGATATCAGTAGGTGACATCAGGTTTACATGTCCATACATCTGTCGGAGGTCTCAGGAGCATGTGAGTCACCCACTGAGGAAGGCATTTTGCAGTGACTTGGCATTTTAGGTAACTGTGGAGAGATCCTTCCATAGTTACTGCTTTTCCCAAGGGTTGCCTCACAGGCTTTACTGGAATTGCCCAAAGAAAAAGAATGCAGGGTGGGGCTTGAAGCTCAGGAGACACCTGAGAAAGGAGAAAGAAAAAGCCATCATTCCAAAGATGCCTGAGCCTGGAATCCACGTCATAAATCCAGGGAGATAATGCAAATAGAAACTGCTTTGCTTCTCCTGACTCAGCTCCCCCTCCCCATCAGACACTCCCTAAGAACTCAGTGGCAAGCCTTCTCTGGAGATGGAAAACGTGCAGCCTCTTCTCTCGGGTGGATCTTTCTAGAAGACTGAAAACAGCCTGTGAGTGGAAGGAAGGCCCTGCGGGAGAGATTAGCAGGGTGGAAGCATCGCCTGTGCCAGTGTGGAAGGCAGTGAGGAGAAAGGCAGGCAGTACAAAGGCGGGCCAATGGCTCTTCTTTTTCTCCTTTCTTCCCCTCATGGGGTGGAGCCGGCACATTCAGAGCAAGGCTTCTCCCCTCAGTGAATCCTCTCAGGAAACATGCTCACAGAGAGCCGCGAGTGTGCTTTGTTCACCTAGACATTAATCATGTTAACAGTCAGTTGGGGTTAATGAGGAGGCAGACTCCGTGGGCATTCAGTGACTTTCCCGATCACACAGTTAGGCTGTGGCAGTCAAGGTTCAAACTCTGTGTGTTCCAGCCTCCCCGCCAAACCAACTCCATGATCTTTGTTGTATTCTGTTTGCAATGCAAAGGAATGAACCCAACCAAGGCCCTGGGCATGCGAGACAGGTGCTCCACCACTGAGCTATAGCCCAGCCCTTGTTTTTTCAGAACAGGGTCTCACTGTGTAGTGTAGGCTTTCCAGGCTGGCCTCAAACCTTGAACTCTCTATCTGACCCCCCCGCACTGATCTAGAATCCTTTCGTGTCTCAAGTGCAATATGTGTTATCACACTCCTGCCTCTAACCCCCTGTTCTTATTGGCTTAACCACTGGCCCTTCTTTCTGCCATGTTAACTGCCTCCCATCGAAAGTATAGCTTAATCTCAGGGGCCTGTGCCTGTAATTTCACTAGAAGGGAAATCCATTTCAACCTGCCCAGCATCACCCTGCCCATAGTGTGGCTCCCTGAATGCCGCCCTCTCTCCCCATGTCAGGTCCAGTGTAACACCAGGGACTGAGGACCTTCTTATGCTCAGCTGACCTTTTGTTCCTGATAACCTCTTCTTTCCCAAAAGCAGAGAAAGGACAACTTCTTTTCTACTAAAAGAGGACCACAATCTTTCTGCTTTTGCCTCCGGGGTCAGGGGAGGGGGCGGCATAAATCTACACACACACACACACACACACACACACACACACACACACACACGTTAGGTCTTTAAAATCCTTACTTAGGCTTATTGGTACAGTGTAATCTCAACACTTAGGAAGCAGAAGCAGGAGGGCTACTGCTAAGGCAAGGCCAGCCTGGTCTATGTGATGAGTTCCAAGCTAGACTGGGTTACATAGTGAGACTTCAAACAAAAGAAAACTCTTGATTGAATCCCACCTTGTTTTAGTTTACAGATAAGAAAACTAAATGGAGGTGGGTATGGTGGTCCCTACCCATAAACACAGCATAATGGAGGTGGGTATGGTGGTCCCTACCCATAATCACAGCATTTGGGAACAGTGGCAAGAGGATCACATTGGGTTTGAGGACAGCCTAGCCTACAGGTGAGCTCCAGTTTACCTAGGGCAATAAGGTGAGACCCTGGAAACAAAATAACAACAACAGAAACAAAAAACAAAACATAGTTGAATATTGAGTCTTCTTAACTAGGTGAATGTTTTAGTTTTATTTATTTTGTTACAACAAAACACCCTGATCAAAGGCAGTTCAGGGGTGGAAAGGATTCCTTCGACTTACATTTTTAGGGTACAGTCCATCACTGAGGGGAAGGTGAGCCCCTAGTCACACCACATCCACAGTAGGAGCAGAGAGGAGTAAACACACAGATGCTGCTGCTTCTGTGCAGCTGGCTTTCTTCTCTCTTACACAGTTCAGGGCCCAGCCTGTGACATGGTACTGCTCCCTGTGGGCCTAGATCTTCCTTCATCACTGAGATCAGGACAGCCCCCGTAGACTTGACCAGCAGCCAGTGTAACTGCGATAATTCCTCGTTAAGACTCTTTCCAGGTGACTCCAGGTTGTGTCGGATTGACAGTTAGGACTAGCCAGAATAGGGGCCTAGCAGTGTTTCAGTGGTTGGAAGATGTGGCTGTACAGTGGGTTCTCAGATCCCGGAGGATCCTGCACCTTTAAACACACAGAGGCATGTAGAGTTACGGATGGTCTTGGGAGATTTTAGCAGTAAGTTTATTGAATGCTGTACACATACCGCACCCTGTGCCAGGAAAGGGAACCTGGAGACTTTGTGCTTTATCAAGAATTGTTCTTCAAGGTGCGTGTTACCATGTGGCCATCGTGATGTGCACTTCAAAACTTAGTGCTTGTTTTTGTTGCCTGTATTTTCAGCTGTCCTTGGAGTCCACAATTTGCTCAACAATCCGAAGTTTGATGAAGAAACAACCAATGGCAAAGGCCACAAGGGGCCTGTAAGGAGTAAGTTGATGAGGAATCTGGGAATTTTGGAAGCTTCAGAGCCTCTGTCTGGTGCCTATGGGAGGGAGACCCATTGCTTCTAGAAGGAATCATTGGGCTCTGAGCAGTCAAACCCGGTGGAGAAGCAGGTGGTGGGCGCTCGGCCTGGCAGTGTGGCTAGAGTCACAGAACACACATTTCATGGCAGGCAGGTTGTCCAGGACTGGGGGAAGGGATCCTGGTAAGTTTGAAGAGTCAGCTCAGAATACAAATAGAGTTTCATGTGTTCCAAAGGATATTTTAATCAATGAGGGAAACTTGACTACATTCCCTTTTTTATTCCAATGTATTTTTGTCTTGATAATGGATTGGACTCTAAATACCAACTTTCCCCAGAAAGCATGAAGGATACTCTGGCCTTTAATCCCAGCATTCAGTAGGCAGGGGCAGGCAGATCTCTTGAGTTCGAGGCCAGCCTGGACTACAGATTGAGTGCCGGGATAGTCAGGGCTACACAGAGAAACCCTGTCTTGGGGTAAGATGGGGGAGCTCTCTGTACATTAGAATATTAGTCTTTTGTATGTTATATGCATTCTAAATATTTTCTGATAAATTGGTGTGTGTTGTTGTTTGGTTTTTATTTGTTTTGAGACAGGCCTGAAATTCACTGTGCAGGCTGGCTTCAAACTCCTGATCCTCCTGCCTCAATTTCCCAAATTCTAGTATTACAGGCATGTCCTGGCTATATTTTGCTCAAGTAATATATTTATTTATTATTTATTTTTATGAGTATAGGTGTTTTGTTTACACACACACACACACACACACACACACACACATATTCACATACACACGTATATCTGTTGCCCAGGGAAGTCCGAAGAGGGTTTCAGATCCCTGGAACTGGACTTGCTGAAGTCTGTGAACCACTGTGAGGGTGATGGAAACTGAACTCTAGCCCTCTGCAAGAGCAGCAAGTGCTCTTAACTGCTGAGCCATCTCCAGCCCCCAACAATTGCTTTTCGCGTGTTTCTCATTCTTCTTTTCCGTTCCTTGGTCTTTCCAGGCCTTTCTCAAAGCTAAAGCTGCAGAATGGAGATTGGAGGAGAGCAGTGATGAGGAAGCCGGAGGAGAATTAATATTTGGGAGCTGGGGATAGAGGTGTAGTTCAGTAGTAGAACGTTTGCTTTGAGCTGGTCCTGGGTTCAAGTCTCAGCATCACACAGAATTTTGAAAAAGGATTTGGGGAATGAAGAGACTCATTGTGGGGCCCATTTTTGCATCTCAGAGCCTATGGTCTGGTGAAAAGAGTGTGGGGAGGTCCATGTGGTGCATCAGTAAGTGCAGCACAAGCCTTGAGGGTTGGAGTTTGCTCCAGGACCTACTGTACTTTGACTTCATGTAGTGTCAGCCACTGAGTCCCCTGGAGGGTGGGGGGCGGGTGCTGAAAAGCATCTTCCTTGCAGACTTGCCCAGAGAAGAACCACTGTTCCTGCTCAGTAAGAATCAACCTTCTATCATTGATATTGGAGTCTTAGACTCCACATGGAAGAATGGCGCTTTCTGGGAAAGTCATTGCTAGTTTGATAGAGAACCTTTTGCACTATCTTTTCTAAATTAAAACTTGTGTTGTAGATATTGTCAAAGGTGAAAAAGCCAAACCAGTATTTGAGGAGCCACCGAACCCCACAAATGTGGAAGCAAGTCTGCAGCAGATGAAGGCCAATGACCCCAACCTGCAAGAGGTCAACCTCAACAACATCAAGGTACGTCCCTGCCGTTACCTCTTGGCTTCTCCTGGCATCACAGGGCTGGCTGGAGAGCGTCGACTGCCTGCTCTTACACTGCCTTTCAGTCCTTTCAAGTCACTGACTTCACACAGAGTAACCCAGTCAAAGGACATGCGTCTACAAGAAGAGTGATTTCTAGAATTATGGTAGCTGGACTGAATAAGCACATTGTGTCTGCTACTCAGCAACAACTTCAACTTTTTATTTTCAGTGCTAAGAGTCAAACCCAAGGCCTCGTGTCTGTGCCACAGCACCCTGCCACTTAGGTATCCCCAGCCCCTTTCCATAGTTTCAAATGTCAGGCATGCAAGAGTCATTTAGAAGGGTCATTGGCACAGGCACTCACATAAGACTACAGTGAAGCTGCCGGTCCAGGCTAAAGTTGTCAAAGGATTCATTTCTAAGATGGCACACCCATGTGACTATGGGCAAGGGACCTCACTTTCTCACCATGTGGGCCTCTCCTTAGGGCTACTTGAGTGTCCGTACACAACCACATCTGATTTTCCCCAAGGAAAGTGACCCCAGAGTGAAAGAGAACAAGAGGCCAGACTGCGCTAAAGGCTCAGTGGCTAGAATCGATTGCTTCTCTTGCAGAGTACCTACCTTCAGCTCCCCACACATACATTAAGTGCCTTACAACCACCATAACTCCAGATGCAGGGGATCCAACACTGCTGGCCTCTGTGGCTCCGTATACTTACATGTACACACACACAAACGACTAAAATAAACATTTATTTTTAAAATAGCAAAAATAACATAACAGTATTTTCCATGACCTGGTGTCTGAGGTCACAGACTATCATTGTCATTTTTGGGGGGAAGATAAGTCTTACTGTTGTCACTCTAGATGGCAGTGTGAACCTGGGAGAGTGGGGCCTAAACATGAGCCGGACTGAAGTCTCATGCAATAGCCAACTTTATTCAGAGCGTCAGACAATTGATACTCTGAGGGTTAAGAAGAGTCACCTGAGTAAAACGTACAATCACAAGGACAAGCCACATGTGGCAAAAACATGATTTTTTCCCATAGGGGCATATAGACAAATCATAGCCAGTTGTGCCGAGTCATCTGGAGTACACTCACTCCTGTGCCTCCACCTGGGAGGGGCGCGAAAGCACATTCCAAGAAGAACCAGTGTTATGGAGGAGCAGAGATGACAAGGCTCTTGTCTCGTTTGCTTGGAGTTTTCTCGCAGTCTAGTTAGAAACCTAGTCCCACAGCTTCGTTCCTGGACCATGTTTGATGCCATGCTGCTCTTGAAGGGAAGGAGAGGTGGGCAGTGGGGAGGAGCCTAAACAGCACGGATTGCCTAAGGCCTTTTATATTTGTTCTCTTCTGTTGATTGGTTGGCTGGTTGGCTAGTTTGAGACAGGGTTTCACTGTGATGCCAAGACGAGCCTTAAACTCTTTAAACTTACTGTGTAACCCAGGCTGATTTCAAATTCTCCATCCTCCTGCCTCTACCTCCCTAAAGATGGTATTCCAGATATGTGCCACCAACCTGGCTTGTTGTGTTCATTCTTATTGGGCTGACCCCTAGCATCTAATATTGCTTCTAAGGATTTATTTTTAACTTTGTGTATAGATGTCTGTATGTGGGAGTGTGCACATAGTGAAGTTGCCTGTGAAGGCCACAGGGAAGCACTGAATCCCCTGGAGCTGGAATTACAGGCAGTTGTGAGCCACCCAACATGGATGCTGGGAACTGAACTCAGGTCCTCTGCAAGAACAGCAAAAGCTCTCCTTCCCCACCGACCCATCTCTCCAGCCCCAGTAATACTGTTTTTATGGAGTGTGCACTGTGTTATAGCCTTGGCTATCCATCATCTCATTTAATCTTCAGTGAGACTTGAAGAGATTAAGTTGCCACAGTCACTCAATTTGTTCATAATGCAGCCAGGTACGTGTCTATTGCTGCCCCTTGCTGCCTGCTGCATACTTCTGCAGTGTTCAGCCCCGTGCTCTGTGATCTGTGTGCAGGCACACCTGCATATATGTATGAGAAACACTCATAAAGTACAATTAATAAATGTAAAAAAAAGGAAAGAAAGTGGATTACAAGCTAATGTGATTGCTCACAACGTTTATCCAAAGGATCCACTTCCAACATAGCATGCCCATGCTGTAGGCAAGAGGCCTCACTTTGTAGAGATGCCACCTTGTCGAGGTAGAAGCAGGGGAATTACCATGTGTTCAAGGGAGTTTTGACCACATAGTGAAATTGAGGCCAGACTGAAGCCAGCCTGGGTTCCAGGAGACCCAGTTGAGATCCACTCTGTCTTTACTGACAGAAGTTATAGTAGGAGAAAAACACTAACCAGATGTTGGCAGCATGGTGTGGTAAGCCCCAAAATGTTACGGAATTGTAGGACAGGAAAAAGTTTTGAGTTGCCTAGGAGAACGCATAAACAAAAGAGAAAGTAATTCAGCCGTGTCTTCAGAAATGAGTAGACAGTTAGAGGAAAAGGCAGCAGGAGTTTTCAGGCCAAGGAGAAAAGCATACCTAAGGGTCTGTATATGAGAGAACTCAGTTATTAACCTGTCCTAGATGAAAAGAAAGCAAACTCTTTTGAGTTATGTTTCTGTACTGAACACTAGGAGGCGCTATTTGCCCAGAATAGCTTAGCACACCTGGGCAAACTTTGAGGCTATGAAATCAGCCATCTAAATAGAGTTAAAGTTACAGAGTTCTTGCTGACAGTGGAGCTCAGAGCACATGCTTAGCACATGTGAGACTCTGGGTCCAATCAAAAATGGAAAAACTATTTTCTAGCTGAGGGTGAGTGGCCGTGAGTGGTCTGTAACTAGCCCTGTCTTCTATGCTGCAGAACATTCCAATCCCAACCCTGAAGGAATTTGCCAAGGCTCTGGAGACCAACACCCATGTGAAGAAGTTCAGCCTGGCTGCAACCCGCAGCAATGACCCTGTGGCCCTTGTAAGTAAGACTTGAAACACAATATGAAGTCATTTGCTGGAGACTCTATTTTTAGTTTTTTCTTATTGTTTAAAATTAGCCAACTTTGTGTTTAGTTGTCCTGAGAGAGGATCTGCTATGAGGTCTGGGTTTGAACTCACAATGTATCTTGGACTGGCCATGAATTCCCAGGAATCCCCTTGCCTCAGCTTGCCTATGCTGAGATTTTAGGCATGAAATCACCATCCCTGGCTCTCAGGGATTCTTTTTTAACTTATTTTATCAATTGAAAGTCTTAGATCTGGTCAACTAAGTCTAACGAACTTCCAGTTCTGAGGCCCAGGCTCAGGGCCTGTGTACTGCAGGCATATCGAATTAACTGGATTCTTGTCAGCGCCGCACATTCCAAGAAAGAAACGAGACAAGCATCTTGGCATTTAGCTAAATAAATATTTAGAGTTTTTCTGTGTTGAGAAAAACCATTCTGAAACTTTTGCTTCTACAGTAGCTTTCTGTAGCAGTCATTGGATGTTATGGCCCCAAAAGCCCACCTGAGCTTGGCACATATGGAAAAAAAAAATGTTGGAGTGTCTTTTATCTAAATCTTTATTGCATTAATTTTCCAAGCATACTATAAACATTCAAAATACTGACCCATTTTGTTTGACATTTGGTTAATTAAAATATGGGAAGGAACATAACCAAACTCCTAGCCCTTTTATGCATTCTATGCCCTTTTATGCATTTTGTGTGTTCATCCAAACAGGAAAGCTTTCGCCCAAGTAAATGCTGGTATTGCCATACCCTCACTGCTATTGCTCTTGTCTGCTTTCCTGTTCACTCAGCTTTGCATGCATTGCCTCACCCAGTCCTACTGCAGAGCTCAAAGTGTGTGCTGTTGTTAGTTCCCACTGCAACAAAAGAGAGGGTAGATTATCCCAGGTATAGCAAGGAGTGACAGAGCCGAGAGTCACCGCCAGGTTGTCCTGCTCCACCCTGCTACATTTACACACACAGTCCTGCTGTGGCACACCGGCGACAATGTGTTATTGATAGGTGTTCTGGGGATCAGCCTGAGATTCTGCAACATCAGTCAGCTCTTAAGTCAAACTAGAAAAACGAAGTTGTCCCAGGATGATGATGGCTCAGCAGTTACAAGTGCTTGCGGCTTTTCCAGAGGACCTGCATTGATTCAAAGCACCCACTTCAGACAACTCACAAGCCCTTGTCACTCTAGGGGATCTGGCATTCTCGGGTACCTCACGCACATGGTGCACAGACATGCTTCCGGGCCAAACACTCATGTGCATAAGATAAAAATAAATGTTAAAAAATATAAATATATAGAGAGATATGTGTAGGTGTATAGATATAATTTAGAACTATACTGATGGCTTCCATATTCTTTTATTCATATTTTGTCTTTGAAATCCACAGTGTAAAACATTTATAGCACATCCGTTCAAGCTAGCAATTTTTCAAAGGGTTGGTAGCTGTATTTCTTGTGGCTACATTTGCTCAGCAGAGAAGCTATGTATTCTGGTTTCTGGTAGATTTAAAAGACTTGTTTTAATTTTTAATTAAATTGTGCGTTCTGCAAGGGAGAGAGAGAGAGATCAGGTGTTCTTGAAGAGTCCAGAGGAGGGTATCTGGACTCTTGAGCTAGACTTAGTGGTGGCTGTAAGCATTCTGCTGTGGGTGCTGGGAACTCAACTTGGGTCCTCACCAGGAGCAGCATGTCCTCTGAACTGCTGAGCCATCTTTCCAGGAAAGTATGTTTTTGTACAATCCCATAAAGTACAGAAAGCAGATCTTTTTCTGAGACATGTACTTCTCCCTATTTATGTAACATTTAAGAAACCATGTCTGTGTTTTCCTGACATTGTTATTCCATCACATGAAATAGATGCTCAGATGTTTGCTGAACTGAATTGAACTTGGGAATCATAATTCCAAGTTATGTTTGGCTGTGCATGCTCCATTTTGTTCAGTTTAAGAAAAAGTATTTTCCCAAGTTTAAGATAAAGGATAAAACAGCATGATCTCGGCTGCCTGCCAGGAGGTTCTGCAAGTTTTTGTAAAAAACTAATTGCTCTGGAATTTTATTATTCTGGAACTGAAAGTTAATGCCAAAGCTTGGTGTGTCCCATAAGGAAAGACTTACCAAACTCCCCTCTCATACTCTGATTCAAATGCATACATTTAATTTTAAGACCAAGTAGTAGGCTGGGTGTGGTGGTGCATGCCTCTAAAACAATCATTTGGGAAGGAGAGGCAGGCAGATCTCTGGGTTCAAGGCCACCCAGGTCTACAGAGTGAGTTCTAGGACAGCTAGAGCTACACAGGGAAACCCTGTCTAGATAAATTAAAATCAGCACACACACAAACACACACAGAGAGAGAGAGAGAGAGAGAGAGAGAGAGAGAGAGAGAGATTTGAAAGTGTACCTTGCATTGCATAGTATATACCATGCCTTTCCATATCATCCCTGGGCTTCCAGTTCAAACAACTGTCAGTCCACAGGATTTTGTTCTGCCCTGATGATTCTCAGCTCAGGAGCTGCCTTTCTCCCAGGCACACTGGCAGCGGTGGCAGGAGATGGTTGAGGTTGTTGTGTTGAGGACAGTACTACTGGTGTTAGGTCTCAAAAGCCGGAGAGGCTGTTAACCGGCCTGCAGCTCACAGGACACCCATAGCAAAGAATTCTCCAGCCCGGATCTTAGTCATGCCAAGGTTGGGAAACTGTACTGCATGTGGCATTCTGTCTCCATTCTTCCCTTCCTAGCTGCCATTAAGATAATTGAAAGAGTTTAGAACTCCCTTAGTCTACTCCCTAGAAGCAATCACTGTTAGCAATTTGTTTTTCATTTTTCTACTTGTTGCCTTTATGACTTTAATTAAAGTGACTGCCAATCAACTGTTTACTCACTTGAGGAGCAGAAGGCCAGGCCACAGCCTTAGAGATCCTGACTCAGTTCTTCTGGGTGCAGCCAAAAATACTTCAATGTATATTTATATTTCAAATCGTTTAGATGTTATCTATATATGCACGTGTCTCTGTGCATCTGTATGTATGTGTCTAGGTAAGTGTAAACACACATGAGTGTGGGTACCCATGGAGGGCAGAAGAGGGCGTTGGATGCCTTGGAGCTGGACTTAGAGGTGTTTGTGGGCCTCTCGGTGCTGGGATCTGGACACTTGTTTTCATAGTTGAGTAGCAAGTGCTCTGAACCATCTCTCCAGCCCCAATTATATGTATATTTTTAAAATTTCTTTGTACTGAAACACTTTAAACGAGTATTAAAATGTATTCATTTAGGGGCTGGAGAGATGGCTCAGAGTTTAAGAGCACTGGCTGCTCTTCCAGAGGTCCTGCGTTCAATTCCCAGCAACCACATGGTGGGCTCACAACATCTGTAATGAGATCTGGTACTCTCTTCTGGTGTGCAGGCACATATGCAGGCAAAACACTGTTAAGTAAATAGATAGATAGATAAATAAATAAATAAATAAATAAATAGATGTGTTCCTTTAGTGAGTATGTAGTCTCAGCTCTTGAGAGATGGACACAGGAAGATCAGCACTTTATGTCCATCCTCAGTTACACAGCAAGATGAAGACCAGCCTGGACTACCTAAGAGTTTGTCTTCACACACACACACACACACACACACACACACACAGAGAGAGAGAGAGAGAGAGAGAGAGAGAGAGAGAGAGAGAGAGAGAAACTGAGAGAGCTCGGTGTTTAAGAGAACTGGCTGCCACTCTTCCAGAGATTTTGTTCCCAGCACCCACACGGTGCTCTCAGCTGTCTATAACTCCAGTTTCAGGTAATACACCACCCTCTTCTGTTCTCTACTGACTCCAGCACACACATGGTACACAGACTTACATGTAGACAAAATACCCATACATACAAAAATAAACAATTAAAAATAAGAGAAAATATAGACTCACATATACCATGTGGGTCCTGGGAATCAAATCCAGGTCCTTCAGAAGAGCAGCCAGCTCTCGTAACCACTGAGCCATCTCTCCAGTCTGTACTTAAGCTATGTTCTTTTCTTTTCTCTTCTCTTCTCTTCTTTTCAGAGGCAGGGTTTCCCTGTGTAGCCATGGCTGTCCTGTAGACTAGACCGGTCTTGAACTCACAGAGATCTATCTGCCTGTCTCTGCCTCCAGAGTGCTGAGATTAAAGGCATGCACCACCACCACCCAGAGTTATTTTAATTTTTAGTTGCAGCTCTAAATTTTATTTTTTTTTCTTGGAGATGAAAGTATGACTTAACAAAGTTTTTCTTTTAAGCTATGAAACTAATTATTTTTATTCAGGAGAGAGATGTTCATAAAACCAATCATTAGAAACCCTAATGACTGTTTCTGGCCACTCAGGCTTTTGCAGATATGCTGAAAGTCAACCAGACCTTAAAAAGTCTAAACGTAGAATCCAATTTCATCACTGGAACTGGGATCCTGGCCCTGGTGGAAGCCCTGCGGGAGAATGACACCTTGACCGAGATCAAGATTGACAACCAGGTACAGAAGAGGGAGGGGGGCAAAGCTAGCTTACATCTTAGACAGTGGGTGGGGGGATACCCACAGGAAGTGGGCTGAAGCTCAAAGCTCTGTGTAGACTTGGTGGGGTCTTCTGGCTGTCCTACAAATCTTAACAGCTTCTGGCCCATGGAGGGAGCATATTCTCTCTCTCTCTCTCTCTCTCTCTCTCTCTCTCTCTCTCTCTCTCTCTGTGTGTGTGTGTGTGTGTGTGTGTGTGTGTGTGTGTGTGTGTGTGTGTACAGAGTCCAGAGGGCAGCCTCAGCTACCTTTCCTTCAGGTGCTGACCAACATTTTTTTAAAAAGAGAAGCTAGTATGGCTGGCTGGGAGCCCCAGGGATCCCCTTGTCTCTGCCTCCCCACTGTTGGGTTTACAAACGCACACCAACACACCAGCTTTTTTAATGTGCATCCTGGGGATTGAACTTGGGTCTTCATGCTGTTATGACAAGCACTTTACTGACTAAGCATTCTCCCCAGTCCCAGTGCATGATCTTAAGTAAACTTCTCAGCGGTCCAGCAGACCCACAGAGAGCCAGCTACCCTTGCCCTAAACTAGCCAGACAGCAGGAGTATGCCAGCTGTCTTGTTTATTCGCTTACCCTGTGGTCTGAGCCAAAGCCCAGTGCTGCCCCAGCCTTGACACTGCCTCTTACAGAGACTGTGATCGGGAAGGAAGTGGGGTAGCCCTGCCCAGATACTGAGACTTGCTCTTGTTTAGAGGCCATTGACCAATGATCTTTAACTTATTTTATTATTATTTTTAATGGTGTGTGTGCCAGAGGTCAGAGGTCAAACTCTAGGGTTACAGGAGGTCAAGAGCCGCCGGATGTAAGTGCTGGGGATCGAATACAGGTCTTCTGGAAGAACAGCAGGTGCTCTCAATGGCTGAGCCATCTCTCCAGCCTAGATCTTTAATTGATTTTGGATATGGATTCCAGGATAGTATATTCAGTATTTGAGTTGATGGCTGTCAGACTTTCCCACTACTTAAGAAACATCCCTGCTTTAATTCCATTAGCACTGAGTGACTTGGAAGCCCAAATATTAGTTTTGCTTAATCTCACTCAGGAATTGTCTTCTCTTTATTTTTATTTGTTTTGTGTCTTGTATTTGTTTTTGAGACAGTCCCGTTGGTTAGCACAGGCTAGACTTAGAGAGCCTCATGCCTAGTCTCCTGAGTACTGTAATATAGTCCTACACCCAGTTCATCTTCAGAATGGATTTCTTGTTTGCTGTTGGGATTTTTGTTGCTGTTGTTTTGGTTTTGGTTTGTTTGATTGTTTTCGCTTATGTGTATGTTCATGTACATGTGAGTATGTGAATACATGTGTGTACATGTGGAGGCCAGAGGTTGATGTCAGGTGTCTTCTTCTTGTCACATCCCACCATAGATTTAGTTTGTGTGACAGGGTCTCCCACTGAACCTGAAGCTCGCTGATTAGCTGGACTGGTTGACCAGTGACCTCTGGGATTTACTTATCTCTGCACCCCAGCTATGGAATTACAGGTTCATGCCATCATGTCTGACTTTATAATGTGGGTCTGGGGGTCCAAATTCAGGTCCCCATGCTTGCATGGAAACACGTTTCCCACTGAGCCATCTCCCCAGCCCGATTTCTTGTTTTTGTTGCTTTTGTTTGGTTGGTTGGTTCATTGGTTGGTTGGTTGGTTGGTTGGTTAGTTTTCTTTTTCATTTTCAAGTATCAGCCGATTGGGCTGTCTGCATTTTGTTTCCAGATGAAGATCCAGACCCCGTGACTACATGAAAGGGATGTCTCTGGTGGCTTTCTCCCTTTGAACCTTTTTGTGGAAGTAGCCATGTAGTTTTCCCCTGTAAGTAACTGTTTCCTTTCCCTTCCTGTGTATCCCATGTTTATGTCTGTGCATCCACATCCAGAGGCAGCAGTTGGGAACCGCTGTGGAGATGGAGATAGCCCAGATGCTGGAGGAGAACTCAAGGATCCTCAAGTTCGGGTACCAGTTTACCAAGCAAGGGCCACGGACAAGAGTGGCAGCTGCCATCACAAAAAATAATGACCTGGGTAAGGCAGGTGTGATCTGTGCTGGTGACAGTAGGAAGAGCTCTGGTAGCGTCTCAGACGCCATGTCGCCGGGCTCGGGGGTCGTGGTCATCCTCTGGTCTGTGGGCTGTTTAAACTTCAACACAACATTCTTTTAGAAGAGCTGTTTACTCTAGCTTAGCTCTTGCCTGGTTTCTTTGTCTCTCCTCTCCTCTTCTCTCCTTTCCTTTCCTCCCCTTACCTTCTCTCCCCTCCCCTTCCTTCCCCTAGCCTCCTCTACACTCCCTTCTCCTCCTTCCATGCTGATGATACTCTGTAACCAGAGGTTTCTCTCCTGGCCCACTAGTTTCCAAATAACCACTCAGAGGCATATATTAATTATAAAACTTTGACCAATGGCTCAGTCTTCTTACTAGATAGCTCTTGCATTTAAATTAACCCATTTCTATTAATCTATGTATTGTACCGTGGCCATGGCATTACCAGTTTGCTGGCATCTTGCTTCTCTGGCTGCTACTGGCATCTCCGACTATACCTTCCTTTTCTCCCTGTATTTCTATTTGGATTTTCTGCCTGGTTCTATTCTGCCTGGCCATTGGTCAAATCAACTTTATTAACCAATGATAATAAAACATACTCAGAGAAGCCACCCTACATCAGTACTCTCTCTGTTCTGACACAGGGCATGGCAGTCCCAGGTTCCTTATGTCTGTCTTCTGATGGCACGTTTTTTTCAATACTCAGGCTTAAATGTGGGCACATGAATGCTTCTGTATTTTACATGTGACGTGCTCTCAGAGAGCCACAGTATACAGGTTAAACTCTCGCAGAGCTTTTCAGCAAGACCCCTCTGCCTTCCCATGCCATTATGCTTTGCTGGGGAGTCCACACCCTTCCTTCTGATGGAAGGAGATAGGACATTTCCTGGTCAGTCACAGTGTAGAAAATTGCGGCAGATTGGGAAGGCTTGTCTAGGGGCATCTTAACTACCCGGAGCAGCATAGCAGAGGGACATCAAAGACTGGACAAGTTCACTTGGCAGTCAGCTAGCAGCAGGCTTGAGTCCTTGTTTGAGGTTTGGGCACAGTGTACCAGACCTTGGACAAAGGAGAAAGAGAGATGCTGGCAGGACATAGGGCCATACTTACCCATCAGGTGCAGAGAGCGAGACCCAGGACCCAGCAGGAGACTTCGGGAAAGGATGGAGACAATCAGAACCTAGGAAAGAAAGCATGTTAGGTTTGTATCTGAGCAGTCCAGAAAACAAAAGAAAAGTAGGCAAAGTGAGGCTCTGGAAGTATTGACCGCAGATCCCATGCCCAGGACAGCCATGGTAGGCGGCAGCTTTCCTACAGCTTGGGCTACTTCGAACGTAGAGAGTTAGAGGGGATCTCAGACAGCGTACCAGTTGGCTAAATCCAGGAAGCTTCCAGAATCCCCTTGCTATGAACCAAAAGGGTCTGCGGCTCAGGAAGTGCAGAAAAGAAGAGAAGAAAAGGGTAGTGAAAACCAGGAATGTGTCAGGTTTGGTGGTGTGTGCCTGTAATTCCAGCATTCGGGAGGCTAATGCAGGAAAATGCTGGTTGAAGACCAACCTGGGCTACATGGTAAGACCATATCAGAGGAGGGAAGAGAAGGACATAATCAAGCATTTTTTTAAAAAAGATGTATTATTTTGTGTGTATGAATGTTTACTTTGCTTGTATGTGTGTGTGTACCATGTATATGTCTGGTATCCAGGAGAATGGAGCTGGGGTTACGGCCAGTTGTGAGCAGCTATGTGGGTGCTAGGAATTGAATCCAGGTTATCCAAAAGAACAAATACCCTTAACCACCTAGTCATCTCTCCAGCCACCAAATCAGGCCATCTTGACAAAATATCTTTGGTCCCAAGTACTGGTTTAAAGGAACCTTAATCTCTGATTTTGCCTGCTGTCTAAACCACACATTTTTTGAAGACCAATATTTAGGAATTGCTTGTTTGGTTTTTTGTTTGTTTGTTTGTTTGTTTGTTTGTTTGAAGACAGAACCATGCTGTATAACCCAGACTGTCCTGGAACTCCTATGTAGCCCAGGCTGGCCTCCAATTCTTGATTCTCCTGCCTTGCCTCCAGAAAACTGTGACTGCAGGTGCACTCCACTGCATCGGAGACTTAGGAGCTTTTAATCAAGAAGAGATTTAGGGAATCTGAGCTTCTCTTTACAGAAGCCTGGTCTCCCAGTCATAGTCAGAGGTCATGGGTGAGGCTGTGTTCACATGAGGACTTCACAAGGGCCAGTCGGTGACAGAACTGCACAGAATTCAAGGAGATGCCCTGTGTGTGAATCCCCATGAAAATACTTAGCAGTTCACTGCTCTGTGGTCTCTCCTGGGCTTACTGCTCCATAGACACACAGAGAAGTTCCCAGCTACCACACAGACATAGCTTTACTTAAATTTAAATTCTTCCTTATACTAGATTGCTTTCCCATTCCGCTTTATTTTCATAGGTCATTGAATGTTGAAGTTTAAGATGGTTCATCCCCTTGGGTGTGTGGCATAGAGTTTTGTGGGGTAAATAACTTCTTGATCAGTGGTTCTCAACCTGGGGGTCAGAGATCCTGCCTATCAGATACTTACATAGTTGCATATTCATAAGAGTAGCAAAATCACAGTTCTAAAGTAACAGTGTCATGATTTTATTGTGTTCCACAACACAGGAAACTGTTTTAAAGGGTCGCAGCATTAGGAAGGTTGAGAACCACCGCTCTAGAATGATTTCAAACAATATCCTTTTCTTCTATTGTCTTTTTTAATTTTTCTTTCTCTCTCACCTAGTTCGCAAGAAGAGAGTCGAAGGAGACCGGAGGTAAGCCTCCACTAAAAGAGGTGAAGTCACACCACGCAGCCGTCTGAAACACGGACAAAGCTCACCCTCTTCTCCATGGGACCACTTTATCTAAGGCTGTTCGTTTCCGTTAACCGTATAAGTCATAGTCCTAACTGTTACTCTTTTTTAGCACTTACTTATTTATGTGAAAACGTGTGTAGCAGTTTGACTTTCTCCTGGACACACCTGGAAGCTTGCACAAACAGGATGACACGGATCTCAGACAGTGACAGCGCTGGAGATGATTTTAACCACTTTCACATTGTCTTGCTTTCTTACGTGACCGTGTTTTTAATCGTGGAAAGGGGCTTAGCATGTGGTTCTAGCTGATTGCAGTAGAGGCTTAGCTCTGTTTACACGCATCACTTTGAGTTAGGCTGCGTACATGGGAAGTGTGCTGCTGACCACATCAGAAGTTAGTATTGCCAATCTTTCACAAACTCTCCGTTAATTCCAGAAAACTGTCTCCGTGTGCACATGCCCGGATGATTGATCGTCAGTGGGATCCTCCTTAGGCAGCACTTTAACCTAGCACTATCCAATTAACTGTTTATTATCCCATGAGTATGTTGATAATCCACACACTTTACCATGATTAAACATGAATTAACCATTTGCGTAGGTGGGTGGCACTAGGAATTGTACCCAGGGCCTTGTGTATGTTAGGCAAGCACTCTACCCCTGAGCTATATCTCCAACCCAAATTGTATTTAATAGACAATTACTTATAAAGCCATTGAAAGGCTTTCCAGGTATAATAGAAAATTTTAAATTTTACTAAAAGAAAATTTCAAAATATCACATTCCTAAATAAAACAATAATAATGGCATCTTTTGGGCTAGACTGATGGCTCAGCAGTTAAGAGTGCTTGCTGCTTTCCCAGGGGACCAGAGTACAGTTCCCAGCACCTATGTCAAGTACCTAACAATGGCCATCCATCTTCAGGGGAATTTGATACCTCTAGCCTCTGAGGGCATACACAAACATATGTGTATAACCCCATATATATACATGTGGTTAAAAATAAGTTTTAATAGATCATGGCACCTCAATCAAAGTTTCCAATACATAAGATTGAATGAATTTGACAAAATTTAAAAGTAATTGATGTTTCATCTTCAGCATGACAAGCTCACAGGATAGATTGTGGGCATTGTGGTTAGTTATATAGAGTTATTTCACATGCAGTTGCTTCTCTGCCTTTTGATAAAATCAGGTGCCACTTTTTATCACGTGACCTCATTGATCCAGACATTTGCAAACGTTAGGTAAAAATGAATTGTCGGCTACTCAGATCTTTGTCTCCTCGAAGACAAAGGCTGTGCAGACAGAAGTGAAATGATTGCATTAGTTTATTAGTGTGATAGTTGGGCAGTGCAGTGCAAAATTAATGTAGCGATGACAGAAGTCTTTGGCCCTAATTAATCATTTCTCTCTCCTGTCGTAGATAGCAGCTTATGGCAGCCTCTGAGAGGTAACTGCTCGCTCCTCTGCTCGCTGCTGTGACCAGGTAGCTGGCAAAAGGAACGTAAGGAAGAAAGGGTTCATTGTGGTCACAGTTTTAGGGTGCCATCCACCATGGCAGAGAAGAATGACAGCAGGGGCATGAGGCAGCTGGTCACATCGTTTTCACAGACAGGAAGCAGAGAAAGATGCATGCTGGGACTCAGCCCACTTTCTTCTTTCTCCCAGTTTGAGACCCCAATCTATGGGATGGCGCTGCCCACATTCAGGGTGAGTCCTCCCTCTTCAGTTAAACTTCTCTGGTCACACCCTCTGTGATTTCATGAAGATAAACTGTCATAGTCCTCTACCTGCCATACACAGCGTCTCTCTTGTTTCCCTTCTCTTTATGACTCTTGAGTCTTACAAAGGTGTTATCTCTTAGGCTGTTGACAGAGCGAAAAAGCTGCTGTCCCTGGCAGATCTTGGGCCCGTTCCTGTATCGTTTTAGTTACTGGGGGTTCCTGGGTTACTTGGTAGCAGAAAGACAAGTTAATGGGTAAATAGCTTGAAAAGCTCTTGGAATCTATTCTGAGAAGCCTTTTAAAAACTGGACACTTGGAGCGAGAAACTGGACACTTATTTGTTCTATAAATACCCAGAGCTGAAAGCAAAAGGCCTTTGAAACATCTCATTTTTTTTTTGACTCGTTTTTACATTTTTCAGGACACAGTAAGGAGGGTTTGCTGACATTTTCTGAGTCGTCCCCAATCCTTTATGTTCCTATCCATCTTGAAACATTCCATTTGGTGGTTTTCAGTCTGATTTTTCTTTCCTACTCACCCATTTATGTAGGTTTATATAAGCTGGCTGGCTGCTTAGTTTTTAAGAAGTCTGTGAGTTATTGCTCACCATAGCACTACTGAGAATTGAGGGAAGCCAGGTGTGGCAGCACACACCGCTGTTCCTAGCCCTCGGAGTAGAGGCAGGAAGATCCGTGTTGGCTACCTGCTACACGAGATCCCCCGCCCACCCTCCCCCAACCAAAACATATGAAGTGACATGCACTTACAGTTCGGTCGGCATGGTAAAGGCAAAACTATGTTCTTGAGATTATTTATGCATGTTGTGCCTGCATGTCATAAATACCACCCGACTCTCAGCATTAACTTCTTGGCCGTGGTGAGAAGAGTCTTTGGGAATTAACAATGTGTAAGAAGCCGTCTCCTTTCTTCTCTCTAGATTGTTGACTGGTAAGCAGTCATCAGTTCTACCTGGGTGAAATATGCACACTGTATTTCAATCATAATTTTTGCTTGCCATGTTGTCAAAGGATGCTATGTTTTGGTCACAGACTTCTTTAAAAGCAGAGCCCCTAGCAAACTTTTACAAGTAATCCTTTTCCTCTCCTTATTCACTCTCTTGCCTCCATCTCGTAAGAAACTCTGACCCTGCAGAGTCTTATCTGCAGCTCCACATTTTGGAGAATGAGTTGCAGTTGTTAACACAGCCTGGCAAAAAACAAGAAAAAGAAATCAGATTTGGATCACGGCTAATCCTTTTTATAAGGAGTTATTAGTATTATTAAAGCTAGATAGTAGAACATTATTTTTAAAATCATACTGTTTTAGCTTATGAGTTTATGAGATTATTTATTACTAATCAACTGTTTTATCATTATGGATTTTTAAATGGCTTCTAAAGTAAAATTTTCTTAAGTATTTCCGTACTGAAGATAACTATTAGAAGATAAAACATACATTTTTTGGGTATGTATCAAATCATATAATTAGTCTGAGACTTCACCTCCCTCCTGCCCGGAGTGAACAATTAATTTCATC